TACATTTGTGGGATGTTGATATTCCAAAGAGACAACCACTAAAACTATAACAGGTGTATATATTATTTACAAATGTACAGGATGGCTGGGAAGCTGTTTTGATATATATATATATATTGTAGCGTGTTTTGTGTGTCACGCTACAAATAAGTTCACGCCGTCGTTTGGCATAGCGAGTTTATTCCTTCGCTCGTTTACACACACTTTACAATCATTCCCGTCTGCAGTGTCACAATCACTGCTTGCAATAAATTGGCGATGCTGGACTGTCTTCTAGGATGGCCCGATCACGACTGGCTTCTTAGCTGGCTCGATGAAGACTGAAGACTTCTCGTCGAAACTGGGCTTTTATAACCTTGGCCGCTGTTAGGCAACGAACCCTTTGTTATAACCATGGAGACTCCTGTTAGAACTACAATGGAGCAATTGTTGTCTCCTCTGTAACGGTCTATTCTAGCGTTTCCATAGCAGTGACTCTTCTGGATTGCAAACACGTTACAATATATATATACATTATTCATGAGATTGCGGGCCCTGAAAGGGGCCGTTTGTTCAACCGTATGTTATTCACAAGATTGCTGGCCCTGAAAAGGGGCGTTGTTCAACCGTATGTTATTCACAAGATTGCTGGCCCTGAAAGGGGACGTTTGTTCAACTGTATGTTATTCACAAGATTGCTGGCCCTGAAAGGGGCCGTTTGTTGTAGTTGTGCTTGCAGCGAAACGTGTAGACCGATGAAGGCTGAACTGATGTGTATTCGTATGTGGAGCCATGAATGTGTCTTTGCCGTGTCAGAGGCCACGTATTTATCCCATGCTTGTTTGTGCCGTCAGTAGGTGGCGCTAACCAATGGGCATGGGAGATTCTATTGCAATCACTGATTGGTTAGCGCTTGGATAGTCGTTCGTGGACCGTGGCATATTAATGTCACTTGATTTTGCCATATGCCCTGGGAGTAACAATTATCTGGTTGACTGAAGGGAAGGGAGCTGTCTGTCTGACTGAAGGAGTAGTCTGTTGGACTGTGGAAGGTTCCCACATGTTTATTTTCATTGCTTATGCATGAAGGTGATGAGATGAAAACCTCCCTGAAGAAAACAGACTGAGTGTGTTTGTGAACAGGATGCTGAAGAGGGATGAAGTAGCAGAGTCTGGGGAGAACTGCATAATGACAAGTCTCATAAATTGCATTATTTAGCAGATGTTATTAGAATGGTTAAATCAGGGATGAGATGGGCAGAGCATGTAGCACGCAGGGGAGTGTGAGAGAAAGAGAGAGAGAGACAGAGAATTTTTATAGATAAAACTTGAAAGTATAAGGTCACCAGGAACACCCATGTATAGGTGAGGGGATTTTATGCTTTCACTGTTGTTAATTATTGTTATTACTTATTTTCCTGGGTCATTGCACCATATGGTTGTGGGCAACATTGCCTATGTTCTGGAGGTACATGCTGCCTGCGAAATGTCAGCAACATTGCCCACATCTGCACTATGTAATGACCAAAGAACAAAATTACCTTCTTCTCTTTTTTCTGGTGGGCTGCCATTGTATGTCATCATAAAATAATGAAATTATTCATTTCTTTTATGCACCTATGATTAAAGTATCTTCGGAAATTCATATATATTAATAGATAAGCCCATAAGTCCCATTTGAATGAACTGTTCTCAATCACTGGACAGTCAAGGATTGAAGTTACCTCTCTAACAGGTCCAACAGAGTAGGTGCCTCTCACACTTTCTCCTGAGGAGAGAAAGAGATCCAGTTTCTGAAACTTCATGTTCTTTAGCATATCAGAAGCCCATACTCGGTATCCTGATTAATCATTGCCTATTTTATAGAATTTAGTTTATAGATCCAATTACAAGTAAAAATCCATCACATAGAAAGTACTGCCTTATTAATTGAACTGTTAAGGTGAATATAATTTAATTTATAACTCCATTGCATAGAAATTACTGGCTTATTTGTTGAACTGGTAAGGTGAATGTATAAATGAGTAGAGGGAGAGCTGTCTCTGTGCCACGCCATCATTCAGTGTGAAGGTATATCGCAGGTATAAATTTGAAACACTTCCTTCATCTTGCCACCTGGGCGAAATGAGTGTTTACTCCATACTGTGGCCTTTCAGTACTTATTGGATAGGAGGCTGGTAGAGCACCAGAGGCAATATGTACATGATGGTGAAGAGAAAAATTCCATTGCTTGCATGAGGAGTAGGATAATGAGGATGCCAATAAAGTTAACACAAAACTTATTTTTAATATGAATCTGCATCTGTCTATTACATAGTCATCTTACTGATGGGATCATTCTGGCATAAAACTTTGGCCTGTAATTAATGAAAGCTGAGGTGAAAAGGATCATGAAACAGCAGTTCGTCAGATATGCTGTGAAAGTAATCAGGAAAATGCACCTTGGCACTATTTATTATTATATTTTAAATTTATGTATTGGTATGGTTAATATAATGTGAGAATGTTGCCTGCCACTTAATGTATGTATAATTGTGGCTCACGTTAATCAGTTTTACAAAATCTTATGAAACAAATGTTGGTTAATGTGCACTTAATACTTAAATACACTGCTGCAACGGTTGTCTAATTTGTGTCTTGTTTTCTGAATGTGATATTAGTGAGTCTCTTACAGACATGCTGTCTGTACTTAAAATCTTGAATCCCCCATCAAGGTATGAATTTTGGGTATTTAGAACTGTTATGTTATGAAGGAATAATTGAATTTTCCTCTTCTCTCGTTAAATATTCACCAGTCAGTAGATATATTAGGCACATGATGAGAGTGTTAATTAATTATATCATCATCTTCTACAATATATATGAACTGTTTCAGATGTGTTTCACAATGGTGTGTGAACATATTTTATTTTGCCTTATCTCTCTGTGTATATGAATATCATAAAGTAATTTTGGTACTTAAATTTCTTACTAAAAGTAAAGCTGTCCCTGTGACAGGCTGTGAAGGCCCATAGGGTTGTGAGAAGTTAAGGGTCCCACATTACCTTGACGATTGGCTCCCTGAAGGTTGTAAAATATTTAGGAGATTGAAGAATGTTATGAATAATTTATCATATTCGGTATCTTCATACCGTGCATTGTTTTCAGACACTTAAATATTCACAAAACTGGTATAAGTGGTTTAAAGCACAAATATTTATGTGCAGTATATTCACCAACACAGTTTTCTGGAATGACTACACTGTAATCTCCTTTCTCTCATCACTATGGTTATTCCTGTACTTGCGCAGAATGAAGATAGCATCATGGGCACACAGTAACTCAGAATGACCAAAAGTGGACATGCAGTATTTCTGCTTGAAACTGCTGAAAGTGTATAACTTTCGGTGCACTATTAGGAAATTTGATGAATTTTGTTTTGAGTTAGGGTGATACAAATGTACGTCTAAAACAATCTTGTACAACAAGACTTCTAGGGCATATTGCTTCAAAGAGCAGCAATGGCATTCAGTTCATACTTCATTTCATATAAAAAAGGTGAAACACTTCTAGTGTTAAATCACCCGGTGAATGGCACTCAGACTGAAGCAAGTTATTTGCATTTTCTTTCATCTCTTTTGGTAGCGGGCACTGCTCTTTCAGTGTCAGTAATTTGTAATGACATTAATATGGCTCACTAAATTGGCTTCAAATTGAATTGCTGATCATGATGTGTGATGTACATCACAAGAGTATTGTAACAAACTTAAGTGTAACATTGTTAAGTTGGATTCACAGCAAAGGAGTGCAAGATGAACACTAGTTGTACAGAAGTGATATATTGTCCATGGTGATTTGTTTTGTTTTGGATGTGAAAAAATTGTAGTCACATTCTTTCTTTTGTTTTGGAGATGAATGAAGAAATTTTTACTTCTAAGGGCTCAGTTTGTTATGACATGAATGTTTGAATGCAGTTAATTTTGGTGACTTTGTTGACTAAGTGCATATATGCAGGATGCCAGTTTACTGAATGTTATTAACTGAATTTAAAATGTGAGTTTTTGCATGATGGTGTCAAGTCAACATCTGAAAGTTCTCCAACATTTGTGAGGTACTTCCTCATCTAGTCTTGAAAAGCTCCATTTTTTCCCTAAATATTGGGAGCTTAAGCCTTCTCACATACCACTAAATCAGCAACATGTGGGAACATCATAGCAGTGATAGTTGATGGCAGTTTTATAACGTTTCTTGGTTCTCCAGTACATTTATGGAAATTTCTATTTGTGAATTTGAATACGAGTATTTTGTGTAAGATTCCTTTGTTCAGTTCATTCAGAGCATTACACCTGTCTTAAGAGAACGCACATAAAAATTTATGTATTCTGCTGTGACTGTTGGTTTTGGCTTCTCACAGCAGGTGTACCTAACAGTTTGTTCAAAGTGACTGTTGCAAGTAAAGATGACCAAGTGTTGACAAGCCTTGAGCCTGTGTGTCCACACACTGTAGTCTTGACTGAATCGTCATGAAAAGGTAGATGTGATTCTGAACACTTGTGATAGTGATTTAGTGTCATCATATGAACATTAAAAGAGGTGTACAACATTTCAGATGATAGTGACGTTCATCTGTTGAGGAAAACTAGACTGCACTTAATGACTAGTTCATATGAAATGGTCCCTACGTAATTTGCATCCTTTCCTTGCATTTGAACATGAAAACACTGATTTAACTGTCTTATAAATTTTCTGTCTGGTCAGTGGTCAGTGTCTGAAGAAAGTACTCCCGTACGAAAGTTGCATCTTGTTATCCATCACTGTGAACCAGCATTAATGGCAGCATTAACATTCATCTCACCTAGATGAACTAAAACCTCCTGCACTCAGCATTGGCTAGAGTGTAAAGTGCACCAGAATACAGTTTCTTGGGTGTACTTCTCCAGGATATGAGTTCTGCTTTCTTGAATGGCTCTGGAGCACATCCTGAGCAGACGTTCATCACTTGCTTTACCTCTCCTTCGGCAGGTTCCCTGGGGTAGTCATCTTCTGTACTGCTGGTGCTAGACAGGTCATCATTTTGTTCCTGAGGAGCACTTATTGGGTTGAAATCTCCTCCAAGAAGTGCTAAAGCTGAACTTCCAATAAGTGATGAACCCTGAGATCCAAAGTAATTTTCATTGCCATCATCATCACTAAAGTCAGTGGCCCGTTTAATGACTTTATGTTTTGTTGTCTTGCCTTCAGCTTCAATTATTGAGGTCCTGTTTATATTTTTCCATTTTATTTTGTATTTTGGGTCTTGCATTTCTTGAGAATATTTCTTAGAGGGAAATTCTTCCTTGTAAGAGGATGTACTACGTTTTGTCCTTGTTGATGTTGGATCCTGCACTGCTACCGCCACCGAGGTATCCTGCTTCTTGTCTCTTTTGAACAATGAATGCTGGATGTCGAGAAGAGGGTCACTGCCCCCTCCAAGAAGTGACCCAGTAGATCCAGGTGCATGTTGTATGGAGAACGAAGACACACCTGGCAGGGTGATGCTACTTGTACTGCCTCCAGAATGCTGAAGTAAAGGCGATGACAGTAGTAGATTTCCTGGGGTAGGTGGAGGTGGGTTCTGAGGCCTGAGCCTCCCTCCAAGTTGTGCATTGATATTGAGGCGGGGTATGAGTTGACCAGATATGAGCAGGGGGTGTGGTGGCAATGGAGGGCCAGTAGAGACAGGTGGTGGTTGAGGTGTGGTGGAGCTTGCATGGTTACCATGGTGATGTTTGTGGTCGCGGTGGGCCTTGCCTGCTGCGAGGGCGGCCTTGTACAGGTATAGCTGTGTTACCTCTCCCAGAAAACCACCAGATCCTTTAGGAGACCCTTCGCCCTCCAAAAATCCACCGCCATACTGACGCTGTTCCTGTCCAGTGATGGCAATTCCACCACCCGGTATTACATGGCCAACCAGCTGCAAAACAAATAGATGTTAATGTCTGTGTGTTCCTAGTAAATTGCTTAGCATGCTGTCTCTGCACAGGATAACTGATGTACTGGCTGTTATCCTATAAGTGGGAAAACTAGAATCTGCCTCGTGGTTGTGCTGATCTAGTGACAGCTTCCTTCTCCCTGCTGGGCGGCTAGAGGCCAGGAATGCAAGTGAAACCATAACAGGACGCGTTTGCCTTAGTGATGTGGGGGCATTGTCGCAAGACAAAGTGTAGAAACTGCGATGAACCAAATGATCTTGGAACAAGAGCAAGTAGAGTGTTCATAGCTACCGAAAATGCAGCCCGAACTGTAAAGTACCAATTCATGTTTCGTGTGTTACATTTGTCACGTCTGTTAATAGAATTGCAACTAAGAGTTCGCATTCTCCAGTGTCAGTCGGTCATTTTAAATCGTCGATCCTCCTTTCCTACGACTTTATTTGTCGTTATAACAATGGACAGAAATGGTGACATGGTCACCGGCGGGAAGCGAAGTTAAAAGCGACAGCTGCTACAATGATTTGAATGGCTGCAGGTATAAGGGTACCAACCCTATTGTGAAAGCCTCTGCCTACACGCTCCGCGTTCACCCAGATCTGCCACTCGCCGGTGCGCCCGTTCCATGAAGTGCAGGAATGGTACCAGCGGTTGAGACGCAGTGGATAGTTCAGTCTGAAGAAGGTGTGACTCTCCACCGACAGGCTGAAGTAGCTGCTGCGGAGACTGTTCGACACCCACAGGTAGATGGCGCGGGGCTGATTCGGCACTGTCGGCACGGAACACAGGATAATATTAATACGTGTCAGAGAATGCAAAACACTAGGTGTATAAGGAAACCACAGCAAGAAGCCCCAAGGATCGTAGGATGACGGCACCTGTGGGCACACTCTTCCTGCCTACTGTTGTATTCCCCTCCAGCCCACTCTGGCCTGTTAGCTGAAAGACGCCACTAGCAAATGCAGTCACGTTATCATCTCCACCATCATTCCTGTGAACAGAACGGCAAGATGACTGGAGAGGAATGTGTGGAAGGACGCTGGCAGGAGAAGCGTAACAGTTTGTGGCAGATGAGTACGGTGTCAGTCCAGAGCACTTCTTTCCGAGGCGAAGCGTAATTCGTTCTACGGAAATGCTTGCCACTATTATTATTGTTATGCTCCTTTCCTTATTTTGATAAAATGGAAGTAGGCTTATGCGGTCTTTATGCTGTCTCTGTCTATCCCCCGCTATCGACTTTTGAATGGCAGAACCATTCTCTATGAAACTTGGTGTATGTATCATGGCACCTGAGCCCATTTCAACGGCGCAATGCATAAATCCCCTTCATCAGTTTGTGTGTGTCTGTGTGTATCGCTATATTTCTGCTAAGCATCGGCTCGGTAAAAACTTTACCGCGGCAACGAATACACACCCAGCAATAGAAAATGTGTTGGACGCGTCGTTTTGTATACAGTCCTTGTCGTATCAAGGAAAGTGGGCGACTGGTTCTTCCTAGAACTTTTTCTTCTTCTTCTTTGAATTTTTATCCCTTGCCCCCATTTCTGATGCGGATGTGTGCAAAGCCATCAAGAGACCATAAAACCTTCCAAATCTGTTGGAATTTGATGATATTCCTGGTTTTATCACAAAAGGTTCAGGTGTTTTTATTCCTATTCTTAGGCATGTATTTAACTTGAGCCTGACGCAGCAGTATTTTCCTGCTGCATGGAAAGAATCTGCTGTTGTACCAGTATTTAAAAGAGGCAATCATCATGCCTCTGTGTGCAACTACAGACCCATTTCTATTCTCAGTAATTTATCTAAATTGTTTGAACTTATTATTCATGATCATGTTTCGCATTGTGCTAAATTTAACCCCAATCAACATGTTTTTTTTTTTCCTTGGCACTACAGCCCCAGTGGGCCTAGGCCTACCTCCATGAACTTCTCCGTTCACTTCGGTTTTTCTTGATCTTACACATTCGGTAGGACTCCTTGGGCGGGTGATCAGGTCGTCGCAAGGCCTCTACCTGTACACAAACACAGAAAAACGCGCACACACAAACTAAACATCCATGCCCTGAGTGGGATTCGAACCCACGATCCCGGTTTCCAAGCGAGCGGAGACAGTACATACCTTAGACCGCTCGGCTACCGTGACAGGCAATCAACATGGCTTTACCAGAACTAAATCTACAGCTACCAGTTTGGTGACGTTTCTTGAAGACGTCTTAGTTGAGGCGTTCACCTGGAGGGAATAAAGAAAAGAACAACGAACCGTTTGGACAGCTGGTCCAGATGCAGTTGCAGAGTAGGTTTTGTGGATGCGAATAAGATTTCGGAACTCTGTTAGTTTGATAACAAATCAGCAGAAGACGCAACTTCATGTAAGCCTATATGAAGTGTACTTCAGACTGTGAACTAATTAACGAACGAACTAATTAAATAACTTAACACACAAACCACATAGAGATGAATCCTTCGTAGGAAGTAACCAGTCACTCAACTACTCAAGAATATCCAAATATTTTGTGGATATCAAGGTAGATATTAAGATCTTACACTGGCCTTTGGACAAATGCTTCCCCTAGGTTAATATGGCAGGAAAATGAGGCTTGGCACTCAGCTCCATTTTAAGTGTTTGGATTATATCTTCATAGAGCTTTACCTCAGCTCCGCCTTGGCGTGGTGACAGCTATCGAGGAACACCCTGTGTTAAGATGGGACAGTGTGGAGTGTTACCCGCCTCTCGTACTTACCAGCGTAGGAGAAGAGTGGGTGATCGTTGGTGTGATTGTAGAACTTGTGCCACATGCAGACAGTGAACTCCTTCATGTCCGGAAGTGACGTCTTGTACTGGATGTACTGTAACATAAAGAGTCCCGTATTATGGACAAGTTACTCGTTCACACCACGGTTGAGGTGCATTTTATATTCTGCATCCTGTTGTGTATCTTGTATCAGAGGTATACTTAGGGGCCGTCAACATAGCAGTTAATCATAAACCGAAATTTAATTTATTTAATATTCGGGTTATTTTAGTATTTTCACCCGCTACATGTTTCGACCGCCGGTCACGGTAGCCGAGCGGTCTAGGGCATGTACTGTCTTCTCTCGCTTGGAAACTGGGATCGTGGGTTCGAATCCCACTCAGGACATGGATGTTTAGTTTGTGTGTGTGCGTTTTTCTGTGTTTGTGTACAGGTAGAGGCCTTGCGACGAGCTGATCACCCGCTCAAGGAGTCCTACCGAATATGTAAGATCTAGAAAAACCGAAGTGAACGGAGAAGTTCATAGAGGTAGGCCTAGGCCCACTGGGGCTGTAGTGCCAAGGGGGGGAAAAAAAACATGTTTCGACCGAACAGGGTGCTGAGGAAAATATTTGGATCGAAGAGAGAAGTTACTGGAGATTCTTCACTCAGTATAATTAGAGTAATCAAGCCAAAGAGGATGAGATGGGCAGGGCATGTAGCACGAATTGGGAGAAGAGGAATGCATATAGGATATTGGTTGGAAAGCCAGAAGGAAAGAGACCACTAGAAATACGAAGACATAGGTGGGTGGACAGTATTAAAATGGATCTCAAATAGTTGGAGTTGGATGGTATGGACTGGATCGATCTGGCTCAGGATAGAGACCGGTGGAGGGCTCTTGTGAATACGGTAATGAACCTTCGGGATCCATACAATTCTGGGAAGTTCTTGAGAAGCTGCACAATTGGCGGCTTTTGAAGAAGGGATCAGCTCCATGAGTGAGTGACATGTTTCGATCCATCAGGACCACCATCAAGTGGCTTTTATGAATTATATTTGTCGTTACTGAATTATTAAAATGGATCAGTTTTTTACATTTGCCAGTAATATTATAATCAAAATTTTAATTTTAAGTTTCTGTGTAGGATATGTCGTCGCTCAACACTTAACCACACACAAGATGCATTAAAAAAATGCAACCCAGAAGCTCGTGCCACAGCTGGGAAACACATGCAGAACAGCTTCCTATACACACGATGCGCTATATTTAATGCGCGCGACTCAACAAGACAAAAGCCACACATTCACCTCTAGTACCACGAACTCCGCACGCAGATTAATCACCTTTTTACACAAAAAAAGAACGTTTTAGCTTTCCTAATAAACATCAAAAACCACGAAGCCCATCTATACCACTAATAGCCAACCAGTAGTCCAAACGCCCTCTTCATCCATTCCAAATATTTAAAAATAAGAATTCAATTTTTATCTAATTTAGTTTTATTTAACCACTAGATTTAAACCTTTACCCGCACAAGAACTTAAATTTAAACTTAAATTTGGATTATATTAATACTGATGAATGCAAAAATGGATCAAGTTCAGTAATTCACTAACGAAATATGTAATTCATAAAAGCCACTTGATGATTATCTCGATGGATCGAAACATGTAGTGGGATGAAAATAAAGTAACCAAAATATGAAACGTTTTAATAGAGGAGTAATTAACTGTTGTGTTGCCGATCCCTAAGTATACCTTTGTTCCGGTAGAGGTGTACGAATATGTAAATTATGCTAAAATACTGGACCTTTCAAGATAGTTTTCGTTTTGTCTTGTATAATGTCATGCGTGAGGGCGTACCCTCCAAAAAAAAAAAAATGCCAGTGCTAGTGGCCTTAAAAGGGACATACGAATATTTGTCATATCTATGAGTGTATAGTAGGTACTCTACGGAATAACTAGATTCTAAAGGGTTCTGGCGATGGTGGATGACATAGAATTACTGGGTTTTTGGACTTTTTCCATCGTCCGGAATTCTATGTAATAGAGGACACTCTAGAATTCCGGACGATGGGAAAAGGTCCAAAAACCCGGTAGTTCTGGCTACGGAATAATGTTAGTAACCTTGCTGTTGTGTATTTAAAGACGCTTCAAGTCCAGTATCGTATACATCCAGTATAGTATCGTATAGGATGATTGCGAATGATGGCTTGTTAGGGAATCGACCCCGATTAATTTTAAGGTACTGTGCGAAAATGTGCCTGACAGTACTTCACTCGCAATAAGCCCCTCCTCTTGAAGGTGTGAGGTAGAGAGAACGCTGTTCCTGCCTGAAGCTTACTATCTCTTGTTCTGTGGCGACATGTAGTTGATAGGTACGTACTGCTTTCATCTTCCGAAACGCCGATACCTGCTTCTCTGCCTAACTACACGGTACCACATCCAAGAAGACGACAATCTCCATAGCAGCCGCCGGGAGAACCTCAAGTCTGTCGTTTTATTATCTTTATTATTAGCAGGAAAGCCTGTGGGTTATATGATAACGGCCGGGGTTCGATATCCGACAAGGGGAAAAGATTTTCCTCTACTCTGTAACGTACAGACTGGCTCTGTGGCCCACTCAGCATCATATACATGGATACTGGGGATCGTTTCCCGCGGGTAAGGCGGCCGGGGCGTGAAGCTAACCATTCGCCTCCATGTGGTGTCAAGATCAAGAATGGTAGAGCTATACCTCCACAGCCCCGTATCTTGAAGGCATGTTGCGTAGTTAATTAAGGACAGGGACAAATTTACCTCCTCATGTCGCTCCAGCCTCAGGAAGGAAGGACGACTCTGTTTGAGCTCCCCTTCGCCACTCGGTTTAGTTTGCGCCCTCCAGTCATTTGCCACAGGATGACACCGAGATATCGAGCAGGGCATTCACGCTCAGTACGAGATACCTCGCTAAAAATGTTGATCTCTCGGTATGAGATTTTTAGGCTCTTTACAGGGTCAGTGAAAGACGTCTTTCAGGTGATCTCATCTGCAATTAAAACTGGTTTCTCCAGCCGTAGAAATCAAGTTATTACGGAAATATGTTAATAGAAGGTTAATTTCGTCGGAAATATGGTAATAGAACGGGCATTTTCCATGCGGAGGGGCGCCTTTGTCACCACGGCATGGCGCGTCCTCAGGTTACGGATGGAGGAGACGGCCTCCAGATATGGAGGGTAGAGGGAAAAGTAAAAGATGTCGCAGTGCTTAATTAATTAAGCACTACGCATGGGGAAGTGGATATATACATCCACATATTCTTGAAGAGATAAGTGGTCAGCTTCATGCCCCAGCCGCTTTACCCCCGGTGGAAGAGCCCCCAGTACCCATTGTACAGGGGGCTGGATGGGCCTCAGAACCGGTCTGGACGATGTGGCGAGGAGAAAAATCTTTGCCTCTACCGGGACCCGAACTCCAACCCCTCGGTCGTCCAGCCCATAACCAGTCGCTATACCAACTGCGCATGTGGAGGGCAGTTGAGAATATTGAATAAGCAGTTGCGGGGTATCGACAAGTGTGGCCTTCCGTCTTGAGGGTTCAGCTTGGGGCTAATAACTCCGTAAGAACCCCAGGATGTTGCGAAATGTTAACACAGGCACATGGACTTGGAAATTTCCGTGAAATGGTCAAAGCAATGGAGAAGCGAATAGAATTTGAGTCTGTAGTTCAGCATCATTGCGACGCTAATGTAGATATGCATAAATGCAGCCAGCGTTGCTGTAATGAAAGAAAAACGCACATACCTGTACGTGAAACCGCTTCACGCAGGGACAGAGCGGGCCGTTGAACTGCGGCCACTTTCACGGAATTTGGAGGAACGCTTTCTGTTTTCTCCGGTCCAGCATACGGTCTCTGCCGATTGCATCTCGAGGCAGGGAAAGTGTCATGCGGGCCTTCAGACGCTTTCATTCCGACATGTCTGATGCGTGTTACATAAACCTGGCCGTGAAGCTGTATCCTTCACCTTCACCTTCGTCATCATTGAAGCTTAACGTTGGTAACTTAATGCACGTTGCCATTGCGGGGCTGTCTGCTCGCAAGTTTTCTCAACTCTGGATGAAGGAATTTGCTGTTTCTACAAATGTATTAACCAGGTTCAATTTTAGTTTAAAATTTACAGTACGTACCCCGCACTATTTGAATCTCTGCGTACTAGTACCTAATATCTTAAGTAAGAACCAGGAAAGATTAGTCAATATAGAGACGGGCTACGGGGTGACGGCAGGGGTTCGATTCCCGTCAAAGGGAATAGGTTTTTCTCCACAGTGTCCAGACCAGCACTGGAGCCCACCCAGACTCCTGTTCAGTGGGCTGGGGTCAAAGCGGCAAGGGCGTGAAACCGACCACTCACCTCCATCCGTTGCCAAGGTCAAGAAGCGTGGAGATATACCTCTACTCCCTCATACGTCTTTATTGCGTGGTTCTTAAGTAATTAAACTTCACAAATCAACCGTCACGACATGCATTTAATGGGGTGTTTACCAGATCTGTCTTGAAGCATTTGTTACCTGAAAGTAGAGATCTTGCACAAAGGAGACCTTGTAGAGGGCACAGAGGTCGGGCCCTCCTCCGCCCTTCGCTGCTAGCTGGTGATAACCTTGCAGGGGTAGGGATTGAGCTCCTCCGGCGTGTAGTGTGTGATAGGAGACAGCAAGATGGCTCCCGGACTCCCCGAGGGGGGCTATGGGGCGCCACCCGCCAGACCTGATCTCAGCTAGCACGAGACTATGGACAAGAAGCAAACATGCCAGCAGCAGCAGCATCATTCTGTAAGCAGAGAAGTGCGCATACTAGGAGATTCAGTCCGTCAACATATTGCCGCATGGCAGGAGTGGAGTTCCGAAACATGCATCTCAGGCAACATATTGTAGTGCCATGGAGAGGGGGGCTGCGGTTTGCTTTACGACCCTGTCAGTACCCCATACTGTATAGCGTCCAAGGTGGGATGGCTGGTGAATGACGACTTCGAAATGAATTGGAAGAAAGTTGTCATGGCCTAAAGACGGTAGTAATTTGTCGCGTACAGATTGTGTCTACATGAAATAAGATCTAAAAGTTTGTGACGATGGTACATTGTTACACATAT